GAGTAGAACAACTCCCAGAACCCCATCAACCAGGTATCAACCAACAGCCTGGTGGACCAAACTCTCACAAGTCAAGCCTGGCCTCGGGCCGGGCTTGGGGAGTAGAACAACTCCCAGAACCCCATCAACCAGGTATCAACCAACAGCCTGGTGAACCAAACTCTCACAAGTCAAGCCTGGCCAGGGCCGGGCTTGGGGAGTAGAACAACTCCCAGAACCCCATCAACCAGGTATCAACCAACAGCCTGGTGGACCAAACTCTCACAAGTCAAGCCTGGCCAGGGCCGGGCTTGGGGAGTAGAACAACTCCCAGAACCCCATCAACCAGGTATCAACCAACAGCCTGGTGGACCAATCTCTCACAAGTCAAGCCTGGCCTCGGGCCGGGCTTGGGGAGTAGAACAACTCCCAGAACCCCATCAACCAGGTATCAACCAACAGCCTGGTGGACCAAACTCTCACAAGTCAAGCCTGGCCTCGGGCCGGCCTTGGGGAGTAGAAGACCTCCCAGAACCCCATGAAGCAAGGCACTGGTGGGAGTTGGGGTGGGGACCAGGAAGTAGTGGTGGCGGGGGGGAGGGGTAGAGAGGCACTGGTATTCTAGCAACACCTGAGAGCAGCGCCCCCGCCCGCTCAGGGGATCTGGGGGCGCCCCGGGGGAGGCGACACTCATCAAAGCTGCACCAGACACGGGAACATCCCCGCCGCCACACCCACCGCTCTGCTTTATTGATGTCTCGTGAGGAGCCTACTGCCTCCAGGGGCCTACCTCCGGGGACCCCATTTCTGGGGGGGGGGGACTAACTCCGGGGACCCCCTTTCTGGGGGGACTAATTCCGGGGATGACTTTCTTGGAGGGCCGGGAGCTATCTCTGGGTATTGACTCTTGGGACCTGTCTCTGAGGGAGAAGGGGCTGTGACTGCGGCCTGCCTCTGGGGCTTCCGGGGTCTCCCTGTGAGGTTCTTTACCTTTGGAGAGTGCCACAGGTGCCTGCCTCTGGGGAAGATGCCTCTGGGGGGGGGCGTACCCCCGGGGGCTGCCTCTGGGGGGGCGTACCCCCGAAGGCTGCCTCTGGGGGCGTACCCCCGGGGTACGGGGGTACATGTGACCATGGTGTTATTGCACATAAAATGCGTTCAAAAGGAATTACCGGGAAAATAGGCAGATGGATCTATAATTTCCTGACTAACAGAACCCAATGTGTAATAGTCAACAAAATAAAATCCGGACCATCAACCGTGAAGAGCTCAGTCCCCCAGGGTACTGTGCTTGCTCCAGCACAGTCCCCCAGGGTACTGTGCTTGCTCCAGTACAGTCCCCCAGGGTACTGTGCTTGCTCCAGCACAGTCCCCCAGGGTACTGTGCTTGCTCCAGTACAGTCCCCCAGGAGACTGTGCTTGCTCCAGTACAGTCCCCCAGGGTACTGTGCTTGCTCCAGTACAGTCCCCCAGGAGACTGTGCTTGCTCCAGTACAGTCCCCCAGGGTACTGTGCTTGCTCCAGTACTTTTTCTCATCTTCATATCGGACATAGACAAGAACAAAACCTATAGCACTGTATCATCCTTTGCAGATGACACTAGGATCTTCATGAGAGTTGGCAACATAGAGGACACGGCAAACCTCCAATCAGATATAGATCAGGTCTTTCTATGGGCTACAGAAAATAATATGGTGTTTAGCGAAGATAAGTTCCAGCTCATGCGCTACGGAAAAAAAAAATAAATATAAAAGCAGAAACCACGTACAAAACTCAGGCAAATCATAACATAGAACGAAAAGGCAATGTAAAGGATCTGGGTGTACTCATGTCGGAAGACCTTACCTTTAAAGAACACAATAAAGTAGCCGTCACAACTGCAAGAAAAATGACAGGTTGGATAACAAGAACTTTTCACACTAGAGATGCTATACCGATGATGATACTCTTCAAGACGCTTGTGCTCTCTAGAGTGGAGTACTGCTGCACAATGACAGCACCTTTCAAAGCTGGAGAAATTGCTGACCTGGAGAGCGTGCAGAGATCCTTTACTGCTAGAATTCACTCGGTAAAACATCTAAACTATTGGGACCGACTAAAAAGCCTAAATCTGTATTCTCTTGAGCGCAGGCGGGAGAGAGACATAATAATTTACACGTGGAAAATATTAGAGGGGCTGGTCCCAAACCTGCACACAGAAATAACATCACGTGAGACCAGAAGACATGGCAGGATGTGCAGAATACCCCCGTTGAAAAGCAGAGGTGCAACAGGTACTCTGAGAGAGAACTCAATCAACATCAGAGGCCCGAGACTGTTCAACACGCTTCCACTACACATAAGTGACACAACTGGCCGACCCCTCAGTGTTCAAGAGAGAACTATCAACATCAGAGGCCCGAGACTGTTCAACACGCTTCCACTACACATAAGGGACATAACTGGCCGACCCCTCAGTGTTCAAGAGAGAACTATCAACATCAGAGGCCCGAGACTGTTCAACACGTTTCCACTACACATAAGGGGCATAACTGGCCGACCCCTCACAGTGTTCAAGAGAGAACTATCAACATCAGAGGCCCGAGACTGTTCAACACGCTTCCACTACACATAAGGGACATAACTGGCCGACCCCTCACAGTGTTCAAGAGAGAACTATCAACATCAGAGCCCCGAGACTGTTCAACACGCTTCCACTACACATAAGGGACATAACTGGCCGACCCCTCACAGTGTTCAGAAGAGAACTATCAACATCAGAGGCCCGAGACTGTTCAACACGCTTCCACTACACATAAGGGACATAACTGGCCGACCCCTCACAGTGTTCAAGAGATTAATTCTTAATTATGCACCCCATAACCATTCCGTGGGCGGTGGTACATAGGGTTACAGAAGCACATTATGTGCTTCATATATATATATATATATATATATATATATATATATATATATATATATATATATATATATATATATATATATATATATATATATATATATATTCTGTATTTACTATCTTCTGATTTAGGGCTTCAATCCCTCTATTTTCTTAGCATCAGGGCTTAGCTGAAATAGGAGTTCTCCAAAACTCATTTTCGTAATTTCAAGGTAAAGAAAAGAAGTGAATTACTATAGAATGTATTACATTTATTTATACAATTTGCACAACGTTTCGAACCTCCATGGTTCATTCTCAAGTGAAAAGAATTTTCAGGTCTGGTTGATTTTATACCCGCACTGGGTCAGGTGATAAGACAAAAAAGGTGAAAACATGGAGGGGGATACATAAGGGATAAATGGGGGATGAAGCACATAAGAACATAAGAATAGAGGTAACTGCAGAAGGCTTATTGGCCCATACGAGGCATCTCCTATCTAAACACAAAGATTAATCCAGTGTAATTGGCCTGTTATGTTGGACATTGTCTTCTGTGTTGGCATCGTTATGTTCTTGTCTTGTCCTTACTCTCATGGTGGGTAGAGTAAATAGTTCCGTGATTTGGGTGTTCATGGTAGGTTGTTCTATTCTTATGTGAATTGCTTCAAGAATTTGTAATCTTCTTGCATCTTGGGTTTTGTCTATTATGCAGGTATTCTTGTTCAACGTTTCTCTTGTTAGGGTGATGTCATGGGCTTGTCTCATGTGATTCCTGGGGGCACCGGATTGAAGATGGCATGTCAAACGCCTCGTCAGCTTGGTCGACGTCATACCTATGTACTTACATTGAAGGTTACATCCTTCGTGGGGGCAAGTGTACATGTATACAACGCTTGACTGCTGTAGAGGGTTCTCCGTCGGCTTCGGCCTGTTTTTGATAAGGAGTTCGGAAGTCTTCTTGGTTTTGTAGAATATTATCAGGTTTATGTTTTGGTTAGGAGTAGTGCTTTTTACTCCTTTACGGATTATTTCTTTCATTATTCTTTCCTCTTTTATATGTTCACTGTGCATGGTTGATTTGTAATATAATTTTATTGGAGGTGTTGTGGTTTCTGTTCTAGGTTCTGAATTATACCAACGGTCCAAGTGTCTTCTTATAGCAGCGTTTATTTCCGCGTTGCTATATCCGTTGTTCACCAATACCTGAGTTACTCTTTCAAACTCTCTACTCACGTTGCTCCATTCAGAGCAGTGGGTAAGCGCTCGACGAATATAAGCATTGAGAACACTGGCTTTGTATCTTTGTAACGGCAGCCACCTGCCACAGGTAACGGTAGCTACCTGCCACAGGTAACGGTAGCCACCTGCCACAGGTAACGGTAGCCACCTGCCACAGGTAACGGCAGCCACCTGCCACAGGTAACGGCAGCCACCTGCCACAGGTAACGGCAGCCACCTGCCACAGGTAACGGCAGCCACCTGCCACAGGTAACGGCAGCCACCTGCCACAGGTAACGGCAGCCACCTGCCACAGGTAACGGCAGCCACCTGCCACAGGTAACGGCAGCCACCTGCCACAGGTAACGGCAGCCACCCTGCCACAGGTAACGGCAGCCACCCTGCCACAGGTAACGGCAGCCACCCTGCCACAGGTAACGGCAGCCACCCTGCCACAGGTAACGGTAGCCACCCTGCCACAGGTAACGGTAGCCACCCTGCCACAGGTAACGGTAGCCACCCTGCCACAGGTAACGGTAGCCACCCTGCCACAGGTAACGGTAGCCACCCTGCCACAGGTAACGGTAGCCACCCTGCCACAGGTAACGGTAGCCACCCTGCCACAGGTAACGGTAGCCACCCTGCCACAGGTAACGGTAGCCACCCTGCCACAGGTAACGGTAGCCACCCTGCCACAGGTAACGGTAGCCACCCTGCCACAGGTAACGGTAGCCACCTGCCACAGGTAACGGTAACCCAACCTGCCACAGGTAACGGTAGCCACCCTGCCACAGGTAACGGTAGCCACCCTGCCACAGATAACGGTAGCCACCCTGCCACAGGTAACGGTAGCCATCTGCCACAGGTAACGGTAGCCACCCTGCCACAGGTAACGGTAGCCACCCTGCCACAGGCGTGTGCCTCATGATAATGGGGGTGTGGGCGTGCTGCCTTCTGTTGTGTGGGCGTGCTGCCTTCTGTTGTGTGGGCGTGCTGCCTTCTGTTGTGTGGGCGTGCTGCCTTCTGTTGTGTGGGCGTGCTGCCTTCTGTTGTGTGGGCGTGCTGCCTTCTGTTGTGTGGGCGTGCTGCCTTCTGTTGTGTGGGCGTGCTGCCTTCTGTTGTGTGGGCGTGCTGCCTTCTGTTGTGTGGGCGTGCTGCCTTCTGTTGTGTGGGCGTGCTGCCTTCTGTTGTGTGGGCGTGCTGCCTTCTGTTGTGTGGGCGTGCTGCCTTCTGTTGTGTGGGCGTGCTGCCTCTGTTGTGTGGGCGTGCTGCCTTCTGTTGTGTGGGCGTGCTGCCTCTGTTGTGTGGGCGTGTGCCTCATGATAATGGGGGTGTGGGCGTGCTGCCTTCTGTTATGTGGGCGTGCTGCCTTCTGTTGTGTGGGCGTGCTGCCTTCTGTTGTGTGGGCGTGCTGCCTTCTGTTGTGTGGGCGTGCTGCCTTCTGTTGTGTGGGCGTGCTGCCTCTGTTGTGTGGGCGTGCTGCCTTCTGTTGTGTGGGCGTGCTGCCTTCTGTTGTGTGGGCGTGCTGCCTCTGTTGTGTGGGCGTGCTGCCTCTGTTGTGTGGGCGTGTGCCTCGTGATAATGGGGGTGTGGGCGTGGGCCTCGTGATAATGGGGTGTGGGCGTGGGCCTCGTGATAATGGGGTGTGGGCGTGGGCCTCGTGATAATGGGGTGTGGGCGTGGGCCTCGTGATAATGAGGTGGTGTGGGCGTGGGCCTCGTGATAATGGGGGTGTGGGCGTGCTGTCCCCTGTTGTGTGGGCGTGCTGCCTCTGTTGTGTGGGCGTGTGCCTCATGATAATAAGGGTGTGGGCGTGGGCCTCGTGATAATGGGGTGTGGGCGTGGGCCTCGTGATAATGGGGGTGTGGGCGTGGGCCTCGTGATAATGGGGGTGTGGGCGTGGGCCTCGTGATAATGGGGTGTGGGCGTGCTGTCCCCTGTTGTGTGGGCGTGCTGCCTCTGTTGTGTGGGCGTGCAGCCCCTGTTGTGTGGGCGTGGTGCCTCTGTTGTGTGGGCGTGGGCCTCATGATAATAGGGGTGTGGGCGTGGGCTCGTGCTGCAGGGGGGTGTGGGCGGGGGCTCGTGCTGCAGGGGGGTGTGGGCGGGGGCTCGTGCTGCAGGGGGGTGTGGGCGTGGGCTCGTGCTGCAGGGGGGTGTGGGCGGGGGCTCGTGCTGCAGGGGGGTGTGGGCGGGGGCTCGTGCTGCAGGGGGGTGTGGGCGGGGGCTCGTGCTGCAGGGGGGTGTGGGCGTGGGCTCGTGCTGCAGGGGGGTGTGGGCGGGGGCTCGTGCTGCAGGGGGTGTGGGCGGGGGCTCGTGCTGCAGGGGGGTTTGTAGATATTGTGACCATGTTGCTGATGCGAGGTTATTAAACCATTGACGCCAGGGTCCTGTGGGTGGCCCCTCCCTCTCTCTCTGTCTCTCTCTCTCTCTCTCTCTCTCTCTCTCTCTCTCTCTCTCTCTCTCTCTCTCTCTGTCTCTGTCTCTCTCTCTCTCTCTCTCTGTCTCTGTCTCTCTCTGTCTCTCTGTCTCTCTCTGTCTCTGTCTCTCTCTGTCTCTGTCTCTGTCTCTGTCTCTCTCTCTCTCTGTCTCTCTCTCTGTCCCTCTCTGTCTCTCTCTGTCTCTCTCTGTCTCTCTCTGTCTCTCTCTCTCTCTCGTCACTGCTACATGCAGGCAAGAAGTGCCAGTGTAAGCCTATATAGGCCTAGTGTAAGCCTATATAGGCCTAGTGTAAGCCTATATAGGCCTAGTGTAAGCCTATATAGGCCTAGTGTAAGCCTATATAGGCCTAGTGTAAGCCTATATAGGCCCAGTGTAAGCCTATATAGGCCTAGTGTAAGCCTATATAGGCCTAGTGTAAGCCTATATAGGCCCAGTGTAAGCCTATATAGGCCTAGTGTAAGACTATATAGGCCTAGTGTAAGCCTATATAGGCCTAGTGTAAGCCTATATAGGCCTAGTGTAAGCCTATATAGGCCTAGTGTAAGCCTATATAGGCCCAGTGTAAGCCTATATAGGCCTAGTGTAAGACCATATAGGCCTAGTGTAAGACCATATAGGCCTAGTGTAAGCCTATATAGGCCTAGTGTAAGCCTATATAGGCCTAGTGTAAGACCATATAGGCCTAGTGTAAGACCATATAGGCCTAGTGTAAGACCATATAGGCCTAGTGTAAGACCATATAGGCCTAGTGTAAGACCATATAGGCCTAGTGTAAGACCATATAGGCCTAGTGTAAGACCATATAGGCCTAGTGTAAGACCATATAGGCCTAGTGTAAGACCATATAGGCCTAGTGTAAGACCATATAGGCCTAGTGTAAGCCTATATAGGCCTAGTGTAAGCCTATATAGGCCTAGTGTAAGCCTATATAGGCCTAGTGTAAGCCTATATAGGCCTAGTGTAAGACCATATAGGCCTAGTGTAAGACCATATAGGCCTAGTGTAAGCCTATATAGGCCTAGTGTAAGACCATATAGGCCTAGTGTAAGCCTATATAGGCCTAGTGTAAGACCATATAGGCCTAGTGTAAGACCATATAGGCCTTCTGCAACACACATTTCTTCACTTGGTCTGCTGCAACAGTTTTTTTCTTTCCATAGGCCTATTGTGGCACTGTTTACCTTTATATACCATTGATGTTTTACCCGGCTGTGTCTGGGACAGTCTGCCCGCCCCCTTTCCCTTATTCTATCCCTTCCCTCTTCCACTCTCTCTCCCTCCCCCCTACCCTTCCTTTCCCTGTCTCGCCTCTGACCTCGAGCAGATATTTCCATTTATTTATATAGAAGACCTGTCCCTCTGGCCTCCACGTGGCCCTGTCCCCTCTGGCCTCCACGTGGCCCTGTCCCCTCTGGCATCCACGTGGCCCTGTCCCCTCTGGCCTCCACGTGGCCCTGTCCCCTCTGGCCTCCACGTGGCCCTGTCCCCCTGGCCTCCACGTGGCCCTGTCCCCTCTGGCCTCCACGTGGCCCTGTCCCCTCTGGCCTCCACGTGGCCCTGTCCCCCTGGCCTCCACGTGGCCCTGTCCCCTCTGGCCTCCACGTGGCCCTGTCCCCTCTGGCCTCCACGTGGCCCTGTCCCCTCAGGCCTCCACGTGGCCCCGTTTCCCCCTGGCCTCCACGTGGCCCTGTCCCCTCTGGCCTCCACGTGGCCCTGTCCCCTCTGGCCTCTACGTGGCTCTGTCCCCCCTGGCCTCCACGTTGCCCTGTCCCCCCTGGCCTCCACGTGGCCCTGTCCCCTCTGGCCTCCACGTGGCTCTGTCCCCCCTGGCCTCCACGTGGCCCTGTCCCCCCTGGCCTCCACGTGGCCCTGTCCCCCCTGGCCTCCACGTGGCCCTGTCCCCTCTGGCCTCCACGTGGTCCTGTCCCCTCTGGCCTCCACGTGGCCCTGTCCCCTCTGGCCTCTACGTGGCCCTGTCCCCTCTGGCCTCCACGTGGCCCTGTCCCCTCTGGCCTCCACGTGGTCCTGTCCCCTCTGGCCTCCACGTGGCCCTGTTTCCCTCTGGCCTCCACGTGGCCCTGTTTCCCTCTGGCCTCCACGTGGCCCCGTTTCCCCCTGGCCTCCACGTGGCCCTGTTTCCCCCTGGCCTCCACGTGGCCCTGTCCCCTCTGGCCTCCACGTGGCCCTGTCCCCTCTGGCCTCCACGTGGCACTGTCCCCTCTGGCCTCCACGTGGCCCTGTCCCCTCTGGCCTCCACGTGGCCCTGTCCCCTCTGGCCTCCACGTGGCCCTGTCCCCCGTGGCCTCCACGTGGCTCTGTCCACCCTGGCCTCCACGTGGCCCTGTCCCCCCTGGCCTCCACGTGGCCCTGTCCCCCCTGGCCTCCACGTGGCCCTGTCCCCTCTGGCCTCCACGTGGCCCTGTCTCCTCTGGCCTCCACGTGGCCCTGTCCCCCGTCGCCTCCACGTGGCTCTGTCCACCCTGGCCTCCACGTGGCCCTGTCCCCCCCTGGCCTCCACGTGGCTCTGTCCCCCCTGGCCTCCACGTGGCCCTGTCCCCCCTGGCCTCCACGTGGCCCTGTCCCCCCTGGCCTCCACGTGGCCCTGTCCCCCCTGGCCTCCACGTGGCCCTGTCCCCTCTGGCCTCCACGTGGCCCCGTTTCCCCCTGGCCTCCACGTGGCCCCGTTTTCCCCTGGCCTCCACGTGGCCCCGTTTCCCCCTGGCCTCCACGTGGCCCCGTTTCCCCCTGGCCTCCACGTGGCCCCGTTTCCCCCTGGCCTCCACGTGGCCCCGTTTCCCCCTTGGCCTCCAGACCTCAGAGGCCAGCCCTTTTGAGGCTGGCCCCTGAGGCAGTAGGTGGAGTTCCGACCTCTCCACTACCTCAGGCTCTGGCCTCTGGCGTGCATCGGCCATTACATGAGGAAATACTTCCAGCAGGCATTGTGGGGAAATGCTGGCATGAGGCATTATGAGGAAAGAGCTGGAGCAGGCGACATGATGGAACAGGAGGCGGGAGAGGGGAGTGCCACTCTGGTATTGATGACGGAGGCAGTAGATGGCACCCCTCTGGGACCACGGTGCCACTCCCTTGACTTAATCATCATATATTTAGTGCCTCCCAAATCCACACTGAAAGATTATTATCTAAATTGGTGGCGGCATGGGAGAGGAGCAGAGAGGGAGGGAGAGAGGGAGGGAGAGAGAGAGGGAGAGAGAGAGGGAGAGAGAGAGGCAGAGAGAGAGAGAGAGAGAGAGAGAGAGAGAGAGAGAGAGAGAGAGAGAGAGAGAGAGAGAGAGAGAGAGAGAGAGAGAGAGAGAGAGAGAGAGAGAGAGAGAGAGAGAGAGAGAGAGAGAGAGAGAGAGAGGGAGAGGCAGACAGAGAACGAATGAGAGTGAGAGAGAGAGAGAGGAGAGAGGAGAGAGAGAGAGAGAGAGAGAGAGAGAGAGAGGAGAGAGAGAGAGAGAGAGAGAGAGAGAGAGAGAGAGAGAGAGAGAGAGAGAGAGAGAGAGAGAGAGAGAGTGTGTGTGTGTGTGTGTGTGTGTGTGTGTGTGTGTGTGTGTGTGTGTGTGTGTGTGTGTGTATTCACCTAGTTGTACTCACCTAGTTGAGTCTGCAGGATCGAGCATTGACTCTTGGATCCCGCCTTTCGAGCATCGGTTGTTTACAGCAATGACTCGTGTCTCATTTCCCTATCATACCTGGTTTTCAAATTATGAATAGTATTTGCTTCCACAATCTGTTCCTGAAGTGCATTCCATTTTCCCACTACTCTCACGCTAAAAGAAAACTTCCTAACATCTCTGTGACTCATCTGAGTTTCCAGCTTCCACCCATGTCCCCTCGTTCTGTTACTATTCCGTGTGAACATTTCGTCTATGTCCACTCTGTCAATCCCTCTGAGTATTTTATACGTTCCTATCATGTCCCCCCTCTCCATTCTTTCTAGTGTCGTAAGGCCCAGTTCCCTCAGGCGCTCCTCATACCCCATCCCTCGTAGCTCTGGGACGAGTCTCGTTGCAAACCTCTAAACCTTTTCCAGTTTCATTATATGCTTCTTCAGATGGGGACTCCATGATGGGGCGGCATACTCTAAGACTGGCCTCACGTAGGCAGTGTAAAGCGCCCTAAATGCCTCCTTACTTAGGTTTCTGAATGATGTTCTAACTTTGTGTGTGTGTGTGTGTGTGTGTGTGTGTACTCACCTAGTTGTGCTTGCGGGGGTTGAGCTCTGGCTCTTTGGTCCCGCCTCTCAACTGTCAATCAACAGGTGTACAGGTTCCTGAGCCTATTGGGCTCTATCATATCTACACTTGAAACTGTGTATGGAGTCAGCCTCCACCACATCACTTCCTAATG